TGTCGGACGAGGGGTTTGATGCGGTGAGGGACAGGCTCCGGGCAAAAAACACGGCGCCCGGGCCGGACGGGGTCCCACCTAAGGTGTTGGCCCTCGCCTTGGGGCCCCTAAGGAGGCGGTTCCTAGCGGTGCTGAATGTCAGCGTCGCCGCGGGCCGCTTCCCTAGGAGGTGGAAGCAGGGGCGGCTCGTCCTTCTCAGAAAGGACGGCCGCCCGGAAGACTCCCCTTCGGGATACAGGCCGATTGTGGTGCTCGACGATGCCGGGAAATTCTTAGAGAAGATCCTGGCGGTGAGAATCGTCGAGCACCTGGAGGGGCCGGGCCCGAACCTGGCCGAACGCCAGTTCGGGTTCAGGCGCAACCGGTCCACAATGGAGGCGGTGGCCCTTTTAAAGGGGTGGACCGAGGCGGCCACTGCGCGGGGTGAGGCTGTTATTGCGGTGTCGCTAGACATCCGCAACGCATTTAACAGCCTCCCCCACGAGTGCATTATGGAGGCACTAAGGTTTCACCGAGTGCCTCCATACCTGTGTGCCATTGTAGAGGACTACCTACAAGGTAGGGTGGTCCTCTACGAGGGGCCCGACGGGCGCATCCGCTCGCGGGCCATGGCCGCAGGTGTACCCCAGGGTTCAGTGCTGGGTCCACTGCTCTGGAACCTGGGGTACAACTGGGTGCTGCGAGGCAGCCTCCTCCCAGGAATGGAGTTGGTCTGCTTCGCCGACGACACTCTTGTCGCGGCGAAGGCAAAGGAGGTGGAGGATGCGGTGCGTCTAGCGTCGGTCGGCACCACGATGGTCGTCCGACGCATCGACATCCAGGCCTGGTATTGGATCCCCGATGGAGTTTTGAGGAGCATTTTAAGCTCCTCACTCCACGGCTGTGTGCCGCTGCAGCCGCACTCGGCAGGGTCCTCCCGAATGTGGGGGGACCAGGTGCTGCGTGCCGTCGACTGTATCACGGGGTGATACGGTCGATGGCACTTTACGGAGCCCCGGTTTGGGCTGAGTGCCTCAAACCCCGCACGAGGGCCTTCTTGCGACGTCCGCAGAGGGTCATCGCGACCCGGGCCGTGCGAGCGTACCGCACGGTCAGCCACGGCGCCGCCTGCGTGCTCGCAGGCGCGACGCCGTGGGACCTCGATGCACAGGTTCTGGCAGAAATGCATCGAGGTCGGGTCGAGGCCAGGGAGCGGGGTGAAAGACTTGCCCCAGCAGAGCTGAGGCAGGTCCGATCCATCGCCGAGAGCGAAGCTCTGCGGCGATGGGATGAGGCACTCGCCCATGTTAGCGCCGGCCACCGGACGATAGAAGCCATTCGTCCGGTGTTGGAGGAATGGTTGGGTCGCCGGCGCGGCGGCCTCACGTTCCGCATGGTGCAGATCTTGACCGGGCATGGATGCTTCGGTCACTATCTGCACCGTGTCGCACGTCGGGAGGAGACGACACGGCCGAGCACACCTTATTGGAGTGCCCGGCCTGGCGACACCAGCGCCGCGACCTCATTGCGGCGCTGGGATGCGGAGCCCTCTCGCTGCGGAGCATGGTGGACGCCATGCGCCATAATTATTAGGAACACGTACTCGAAATCTTTTTATAGAGAAACGAATAGATCTCGAGAAAAAAATATTGAAAATTAATATTTTTGTAGGTTAAAGTCAATTTTGACAGCTATTTTGATCAGTGCTGCCATTTTTTCATGCAGAAATAACATGTTTCTCGTTGTCTGTGGTAAAAAATATGTTGATTATGTTGGTACTATTGTCAAAATGACAGATGTCCCGCCGTTTTGTGTTTGTTTTGAGAAATATCAGTCAGTCTGTATTCGTCGGTAAAAAATATATTTGCTATTATTTACTTGGTAAATAAGAAATAGTATGGGCTCCACACTTAGAAAAAAAAGGTAAATGTGGCTTTACAACAATCTTTAATTCAGAACCGATTTGGTCAACCCCGACACGCCGTGGTCTTGGTCTGCCCTACCCCTAGAGTGTTTTTTAGAGCCCGGAGGCGCGTAGGGAGAGCTGCCCCCGCCTGCTGTGACAAAGCCGCAAGCATCGTGCGAGCCGTAGCGCCTGAGGCTGGTCGCCGCCGGAGGTAGCGACCAACAAGCCGAAGGTGTGAAGGGGAGTGATGCTTGTGACTTTGTCACGCAAAGGCGGTGGGGCTGCTATTCCCGCAGCGCCGGAGATAAGGCAGAACTACCGGTTCTTATTCCCTAGTTCATGCATCCTAAAAAAATATGAATTTTTAGGTTAGGTTAATTAAAAAAAAAACATGCATTTCCGTCTAAAATCTTTAGTAGGTCGGGGAGACCCCCTCCTCCCCCCCCACATCAAAATTACCCCGAAATTCCACCACAACTAATGGAATTTAGTACTGGTAGGTGCCTAAGTTGTGTATTAATACAGGCTTAGTTTTTAATAACAATCCTTACCGTTCCAATGTATGCATTTTTTAAAAGTAATTTTTCATAAATAAATATTTCGAAAAAAAGATAAGAAAAACAATAAAAAATGAAATAAAAATAGCTGGTAATAAACAAAACTTTAACATGTTCACATTTTCGTAGATTTTTAATTGTAATGTTAATAAAACTATGATCTTTTCATATCACTAACACGGGTAAATCTTGGGGAACATGTGGATATATACCACTTTAACGTTAAATAATGAGAATAGAGTGTTTTCTACAAAATTGTGTTCATTTCGGTTGAAACTCGAAGTAAAAATCAAAAGTTCAGAGAGCACTGTTCACAACGCCATCTACATATTTTACCCAAACTAAAGAGATCACAAGCAGCGATAAGGATGTTTTCTGAAGCGTGCTAATGAGCAAAATTTTAACCGCCCATAGAGGACACTGAATTAATATTCCTCGTATGTTTGACTGGATAATCTTTTGACACTCAAGTGCCATGGGACGTTTGGGAGGGTACAAAGCTTTATAACAACCGTGGTGTTTTCTATATGTGTACGTATCTATCGCAGAAGCAAGGCAGTGATTTTGAAATCAATCAACCCTGCAATCCCGCGGGGTACCGTAATTGGTCCCCGATCGGGCCAGCTTATAAAATAACTTTTTGCAACCCTGCGCGGTGCAGCCTCGTCCGCGACAACACAGATCGTGGGATAGCGCCTTAAGAACCATGAAGCGACGTGTGGCGACTTGAGCGCGGCCTAGAGCCACGAAGCGGAGTAGTCACACGCCCTGATCTTGTGGTTGTTTCACAACGCTATGCGTCGCTTGCTCTTTTTCATGTTTGCCATGAAGTCTTTGAACTTGTGATATAGGAATTAGGGTTTAGCTTCAATTTTTAACTTCTCGGTATCTGTGTGCGCTACGCCATTGGATGGAATAAGGAGAACCGAGAATATGCTATGATCCACTACGCGGGTATAGTGCGGATTGGTGAGTGTTAACGATTGTAGATGCAGCTGGAACCAAAGGCTTAAAGTATCTTGTTGTCCTTTGTATTTTAAATGATTACGAGCAGAAAAAGATTAGTATGGATTACCAATGTACCTGACATTTACTAACAGTTTTTCGTAGATTTTCTAATTTAATTTTTAGCGTAATAAGTACTTAGTCAAATTGCCGTCGTACAGGTGTGAGAATGGTATAATACAGTAAAGAATAGATTGTAGTTACAATACTTCAAAAAAGAAAGGGTCCTACTAAATAGACAAAACTTTCTTGTTGAATTTCTATTGTTCTATAAAATATCCGTTGTAAGTTAATACGTGAATCGAAAGTTACAGTGCGGCAAGCTACGATTAGTGGTATTTTTAAGTACTCCGAACGTAGTACACCCGAGGGCCCCGCTGGATGGATTAGGCGATTTATTGTAATTTCTTTAAAAACGGTTGTGGCATATTGAACCTTATTAATAAATTCAAAAGTATTAACACTACTATTTTAAGTCTAGTCCGAGTGGCCCCGCTAGATAGAAACACATCCATTGATCGAGCTTCTGAATGTGTATTATAATTTGTTTAATTTTTAATGGGATTCATTATAACGGTATCTACATAATTGCAGTTGAGCAGTTTCTTTTTTAGCTTTACTACTATCTCAAAACTCGGATTATAAGCATATAATCCGAGTTTTGAGATTCAAATATCAAAATATTCTTCTCATTAAAGGACATTGCTCGTTCCCCATACACTGAATGCCCAAGAACACACAGCAATGAGAAAATGCTAGTTGTGTTCGGAATCATTCATAAACTCTCATTAGGCATTTGTTGAAATTCGGACAACTTGAGGAACCGTGGCCTACTACAGAATGTATGAGATTTTGAGGTTATAATTATTATACTTAATCGTAAACGATGTACATTTTATATCTTCTGAATAGATTTATTGTTTACCTCTATGTAAGCACTTTAATAATATGAGTTAAATAAACATAAAATGCAATTAATAATAAAAATCATAAATGGTTATATTCATATTTATTTATGAGTGTGTAATAATAGATTTCTTTTCAAATGAAATGTTCAAAGGCTTTCTATTTACCAGATTCTGTATTTTATTATTGGTAATTAGGTATGTAGGTACCTGGTTATCATTATGATTTTCATAAACAGATATTATATGGGATGGGAGTATAAACTATCTATACATAATTTCAGAAATTATCTCTCTATAAATATAATGTAAATAATAGTGATCAGTATTATTAACGAAGGGTAGGTGCGTTGTACTATTCTTATGTTGATAAATACCTACGGTCACGTATATTGCATTTATGAAGGCTATATATTCAAAATGGAATAGAATTAAATTAAAAAAAAAAACACTTTTATTTGAAATCAGTTTTTGAACCTTATTCGCGAAAGCTTTTGAATTTTGATGAGACAGTCTCTTAAGGCACAGAACTAGTCCGTTTACTATGATTAATTGCCAATAAAGTAAAAAAATAATCAAAAAATAATATTGAAGGACATTCGTTTGTGCATGCTGGGGCCGATTTCGTCGAAGTCTTTACACTATAATCTACTGACTGCTAAAAAAAAACAACCAAATGAAACACGAACAAAATAAATAAAATCCATAATTTATTGTAGTAAATATGAGACAATAAGGAGTAAGTGATATACAATCGGCTTTGTTACTCATTATGTATTTGTAGAAAGAAGACACTCTTGTGAAGAATGAGCCAGCGTGTTTTCTGCTCCCACTTACGACGCCAACTACCACGCCTTTACCTAAGTCCTTAGGGTCTCCCGATTTATAACAGACCAATGGACCACCGGAGTCGCCCTGAAAAATAAATACATTAAATTGTTTTTTTTATGCTATTAATGGTCTTTAATCTAAACTCATTCTTGCGTTGCGACGGCAGACCCGCCTCAATTAACCCTGCTCTTAAACAGATTGTTTCTTATGTTACAAATTCCCGTTTGTCTTAACACATTCCTAAATATTTAGTGGGCTCCTAAGGTGTCAATAAAATGGTTTCCATAAAACGATAAGACGATCCTAATTCTCTAAGTTAATCCTTAATTTTATGTTGTCCTGTATTTCATGGAGCACGTGTTATATATTACAAGAGGTACCATGCGGTTTCACCCGCATTAATTTAAGGAAGAAAAATAAAGTGAAAGATAAACAAATACTGTTGCGGACTTTCATATTGAACTTTTAAAGGGGATCAATTCCTTCATACATAATTTCTATTGAATATTTTTTTCCGTTTTTGCAGCATTTTTCATTGGTGCTCCGCTCCTATTAGTTGTAGCGTTATGTTATATAGCTTTCTTTGAAACATGCACTATCTAAAACAAAATAATATATACATATTCTAATAGGATCAGTTGTTCCTTATATTAGCGCGTGCATCCAAACAAAGAAACTCTTCAGATTTATAATATTAGTATAAATATTAAATAATAAAAATAGTCTTTGCTAGAAGTTGCCTCTTCGTAGCTTGGTGCAAACAAATAAGCCCTGTTCCCAATTATGAATCGATTAAAAGTCATTTTAGAGCTTACCAACACCAAAATACGAATCAGCCAAGGAACCATCTACCTTCCAATTTTTTCATATTTTCTCAGCGTTTAAACTACTGGACTACGAAAAACATTTCAAAACCAAAATCAGCTAAAGCTAAGCTAAGCCGTTCTCGAGTTTCGAACTCCTATTTTAAATATATAGATAGATTTAAAGGAAAATTCTCCAAACCTGCGCAGTATCGGACACTTGGTTAGTTGTGCAGATGAAATGTCTCATATTTCGGTTGTGTCTCCTACTGCAGTAATAGGTTGGAATGATGTCCAAATCTGCTAACATCAATTTATCGGATTGTAACTGAAAGAGGCAAATTGGTCTTTTGTAATGTCTATAACTTTATCTTACTATGAAATTGCATCAAAATGGGTATTTTATTAATTTTGTTAAATTCAAATAAATCAATCAAACAAATACTTTATTAGTGAATAAAACTTAAATAAAACAAAAAAGCTTACAAAATAAAAACTACTGAGCCCAACTGAAACCAGATTTCAATTTAATTAAACCCTTTACGCGGTCTCATTTTACCATAGATTTCGAGAAAATTCACACATTTTTACTTTGGCCAAAATCGCTGTTAAATTTTTTAAGCACTATTTGAGGGACTTTCATTGACATGGAAAAAAGCTTGTTTGACTGCGCTTGTAGAAGTTAAGCAACATTCATTATAGTCACTTATTTGACGGGTGACCAAAAAATTATCACTCGCTCGAGCTCTACTTTGCTTCGGGAGGCATGTTAGTTAATAATGTTAATGTTAGACGTTTCTTTATAATAAACATAATTAATAGCTTTACTGCGTTATTATTTAAAAAATAAATAGAAGTATCATACCCTTTAATTTACCTCGACAGTTTAATCTAGAGTAAAATACTCTAAATCGGCCACAGTAACTTTACAGGAATAAATGGCAACTATTATGCATCGTATAAAAAAAATACAAAAATCTTTTCGTAATCGGTGTACATACATAAAAACATACCGACTAAATTGTGAACCTAATCCTTTTAGAAGTCGGTTAAAATCAACGAATCCTTATTGTACTTATGCCCCTTTACTACAAAACGGGTACTAAAGTTAGTCTTGGTTAAACCCTAATGTAGTCTTTGTCATATTTTTAGCAAACAAAAGTGACAGCATCAGCTTTAGTCCAGGTTTACGTTACGTTTTGTGGTAAGATGTTCTTACACAGATACTTGAATGTAGTACGTGAAACATCTGTATCATTTAATCGACTCCTATGTAGGGGAAAACCGGGACGACTTTCCCAGAACCATCTTTCAAATATGTGTAGTATTGAAGATGGTAAAATTATCCCACCTTGGCAGTCTCCCGGGTCCTCTAGTAGTAAGAGTAAAATTCCTAGTCTGGAGTCGATCAATGCTCAAAATCATCAAAGGCATGGGCTCATTTGCTCGCGTCTGACTGACTCCTTTAATATAATAAAAGTACTACTGCTAGGCCATAATGTACCTTTTGCTTTGAAAATGCTGGACTCAATCTTCCGTATCCCGAAACCAAACATGTGCCCTTATAATCTATAAACCTTGATGCAATCGGAATTGGTGCAACGTTACCGTTAAAGAAGAAAGGTTTGATGGTGATCTGAAAAAAGAAAACAGTATTTTAATACTTCTTTAGAAAGGCATTTTTTTAATACGTGGCGCAACCAATTATCCCACTCCTCCTGATGTTAAATACAAGGGAGTCCAGTCACGAATAGAGATGATGCGGCAGAAGGTGTGTCGCTCCAGCCGTCAACACCTTGCCGGCCTGAACCCCCTGGAACCCTATCCACCAGCAAAAACACAACACTATCAAAAGGTAATTTTATTATGGTCTTCTGTAAGTTGGAGGGTACTTTCTCAGACTGGCGCTCCAATTTGAGTGAAAAATCCGCAGTGCCTTACCTCTCTTTAACCTCCTACCTCTTTAGGGCACTGGTTTGATGTTTCTTTCAAATTCAATAAAAAAGAATTGTACGTACATGAAGCCTGAATACATTACACTGTTTTTTTGGGAAATTGTGATAACTGATAACTGTATGTTGTTTAAGGAAGTGGTCTACCTTGTAAAACAGAATTTTTAATGTCATAATATTAGCAAATTTCATAAACTTTATTTCGCAGAAATTCATTCAACATTCACTCATTTAGCAGACATTCAAACGCATAATTTTGTTAGCCACAATCATCTTTAGGCATAAATTTAATATATATAATAATTAAATAGCAGAACCATCATATCGAGAAAGTTTAGTGAAATTCGCCTTTTGGCATACAAAAAAATAAATTTTCCTTGTTTATTTATCTATTATCTATGGTGACTGGCCGCTGCCGCGGCCTTACCTGACCCACTGTTCACATATACCGATTATGCTTAACGAAATTGCCAAATGTAAGTATGCTTACTAAAATTCTGCCATCATATAAAGACATATAAACATTCGGCCAATTAATAATCATAAGTACTTAATAAAAAATATGCCTTACTTTCTGTTTCAAGGAAATAACGCTAAGTGTGTTATGCCAAATGAATTTCGGAGCGTAAAGAATATACCGAACGACAGAGGCTTCCTCCAGGATCAATAGTATACCGTGTCTTCCGAAACACGGAATATGCAGAGATGAAAAACAATTCGCCACAGTTCCATTTTTATGAAGTTAATTGCATGTGACGAATCCATTTTGAATGTTTGTTGTATGGAGTAAACAAAAATGTGCCGGATTTACTCTGTAGCCAATGTACAAAAACAAACCAACTTTTGGTCATCAATGCGTTAGCGTTAAATTGCGTCATTGGGCTGTGAAGGATGCGATGTAGCATTTTTCCACCACATTCCTTCGCATTGCGTAGTGCTTTCACTCATTACTTCAGTAGTAAGTAACGCACATCTTCTTATCACACTAATATTATAAAGGCGAAAGTTTGTGAGTGTGTATGTTTGTTACTTCTTCACGTCTTAACGACTGGAGCGATTTTAATAAAATTTGGTATGGAGTTAGCTGACACCCTGGATTAACACATAGGCTACGTTTTACTGCGGGAAAATATCCCTAATAAACCGCGGGTAACACCGAGGGGCACAGCTAGTATTATATGAAAAGCAACCGATGGTTCAAAGTTTGTAGGGGAAACCAATATATCTACGCAGACGAAGTCGCGGGCACCCACTGGTAAATCATATAAGTTATAATTATTGCAATAGTAAAGTACGTTTCTACAACACTTACCACTACGCATATGTCGTGTTTCGGAAATTTGTATTTAGCTGGGTACACCACCATTTTGAGGCGGCGCCACTGGCTTCCACTACTGCTGTCTGCGCGGTATTTCTCGTCGTTAAGCAAAGTACCAGCCACGGCAAATTTGCGAGTTAAAGCCTTTCCAGAAATAATACTGTGAATCAAATAAATAAAAATATTTCTTACACTCACATTTACACAGTCTAGCTCCAAAGCAAAAACTGTAAGGGCACTCGTTAACCGGTTTTCCGCCGGGTCTAGGCATGGTCTCTACCCGAGCCGGTGCTGGCTAAGCTTCTTCACGAGCACGGTTTGTACCTTTGTACTAGGGTTGCCAACCCTACTATATAATATAGCATCCTACTATGTCAGGGGATCAAATACTATATTTCTAAAAAAATATATAGTAGACGAAACTACTATATTTTGCTTAAAACAGATATATGCCAGTAAAGGCTTTCTTAAAAAAATATTATTAGGGCAAAGAGCAGCAAAAATACATTCATTTCAAAAATAAAGCCAGTATTTAAATCACATACTATATTTTTCCCTACTTTTTGCCATCTACTATATTTGGAGAGGTAACAGCTTCGAAAATACCATATTTGATAGAAAAAAGTTGGTAACCCTTTGGTAACCCGAGTTTGTAGCGACGCGACCCCGAACCGTCGCTAGTGCCGCGCCGGTGTCGTTAACAAACCTCCATAGTGTATGGTAATAGTTTAGAACCCTGCCTAAACTCGGGTAGAAATCGTCTCGTTTACATGCGCCCTAAAGCTTGTGTTATGATAGAGTCTGAGGTAAGAGGATGGACGATGAGTCAGAAAAACGTGCTGAGAAAACGAAAACAATTGCTTAACTTTATCTGCAAACTCATACCGAACGTGTTAGCCATTGCGACTAAAAGCTCCTAAATAATATATGTGTAGTTATTTGAAAATACACAAACTCACACAGATTTAGAAAAACAGGCACTCTGTTTTGCTTCGAAGCAGTGTGCAGCGGATAATAGTTTGCTCGGCGCAATGATGACCCCACCACAGAATGTTGAGTAGATGTGTTGCACTCGCGACTTCAAAGTTTTAAAACCTATCTAAATAAAATTGAAAAAGTTTAGTAATTTCATGGATCAAAACATCATTTTCAACTTAATTTTGGTTTACGAAATATGTCCTTTACTCTTCCATACTTCGCGTACAGCAGTTCATTTCTTTTCATTCTCTTCTTTATTTGTCATATCATCTTTTATTTCATTGCGGACCTACCATACCACTGGCCACGCTCCTTGTTTTACATAGTCTTTCCAACTTTCCTTCAGTATTTCTTTCGATGTAGGATCGATCACATTTATTTTTATTACCCTCTTTGTCACTTGAATTATTTCATCTTATTAAGAGCCCCTTTTGTAGATTACTGCATAAGTGTGAAGAGTATTTTCTAGATTGTTCGAGCACGAGTTCCAGTGTGAAATATTAGGTGTTAACGGAAGCAGATGTAGCAGCCAGGACTAAAGAACGAAGGCTTAAAACCTTCAATAACGCGTGTTATGACGCGTGGTTTAATTGGTTTAACTGGCTAGTTAAATCTAATTTTTTATCATTTATTCTAATTTTTTTTATCGCCTACGCTGTTTCTTCTTCATATCAATGATATGCTTCAAATTGATGGCATTCATTGTTATGCAGATGACAGCACGGGTGATGCCCTATATACCGGCCGCCCCAACATTTCACGGGAAAACGTCATCGAGTGCCGGAACAAACTTGTGTCTGAAGTCGAAACTTTGTTAAACCGAGTAACTTTGGTTTTGCGTAGGGATGTAGCTTCGCTCTGCATCTTCTATCGCATTTATCACGGGGAGTGTTCTGAGGAATTGTTCGGATTAATTCCAGCTGCTGCATTTCGCCATCGTACATCACGACAAAAATTTCATCCCCATCATCTTGATGCGTGGCTATCCACAACCGTGCGTTTTTGTCGAAATTTTTTACCACGTACGACAAAACTGTGGAATATATTGTCGCCAGCAGTGTTTCTGGACCGATACGACCCAAAAACCTTCAAAAAAAGAGCGTACTCCTTCCTTAAAGGCCGGTATCGCATTTGTGATACTCCTGGTGTTGCAAGTGTCCATGGGCGACGGTGATCACTTACCATCAGGTGAGCCGTCTGCTCGTATGCCCCCTATAACATAAAAAAAAACACTTGAACTAGTTTCAAACTTCCTCTAATGTACTCGTTCTCTACATTTTCGTCTTATAATTACAGGAAACAAGTTGAGCTAACCTGATAAGGAACGTCGCCTAGTTGTGCAGGACGTCCGTTTACCACTCGGGGTACTAACAAACTTTCATTTATTGGCACTGGTTGCTCTAATATCTGACATAAACATGATTGCGTTATCATAAATACAAATAAATAATGATAAATGTTATGATGAAAGCAAGCAAAGGCTTGCATTTGCATCCTAAAAAATATTCATAGTTGACACTGAGGTAGTTGACTTTCTAGTAATATTACTTTTCTCTATGTAGTTGACTTAAGCAACCATAAATAGCAAAGTAAAACTATCAAAAATATTAAGAAAAATATACACCTTGAAATTAATATCTATGGAAAAATTAGAATCTCATTTAGGGCCTCCGCTGCCTTAAGCTCCGAGCACGGAGCGGACGTCCGCTCTGCATGCTGTTTCATGTTATTTTATAGAGCTGCGCTGCATGAGGCGGGTCTCGTCGCAAGTGACGCTCGATTGCCTGTCTTATGAATTTTGTCTGTGTCGTCTTTTACCGAGGTAATATTATCAACAAAAATAAACTCTTCACCCACGAGATGAAATTGTACTTGCAACGCTGCGAGAGGCGGGATTCCGTTGCGGGTCTCGACACGGGTTTAATTTTCGTCCGTGATTTGTCGGCCCCCGACGGATCACGGAGTGGATCTCCGCGGAGGACGTCCGCTCCGTGGTTCCGCTTAAGGCAGCGGAGGCTCTTATTCTGATTAGTTATACTGGTGTCAAGTCCCGTCTGGTCAGCTAATATTGAGGTTAAAATAATATATACGGGAACGTTTTCCTGAATTTCCTTATACAAATTTCTAGCATGTTATCTAAATTCTAGGATGTGCTAATAAATTTTATATTGTTTGTAGTTTAATTTCATATCATATGTTCAGATGAAAAGTGAAACAGTAATTTAATTTCATGATAAAAGTGATAATATTTTTTATAATAATGTTTTTGCCTATTTGTTTCTTAGGTTTTCACGCACATCACTCATTAAATAAAACTAGTTTTTACGGGTTAATGCACGAAACTTTATTTATTTATGACGTTTCGCAGCCTTTTCAGGTCTGCATCGTCAGAATAATGATTTTATTTGCGAAACGTCATAAATAAATAAAGTTTCGTGCATTAACCCGTAAAAACTAGTTTTATTTAATGTTTTTGCCATTTAATCTTGAATCGGAAGGTACTGTCCAGTTTGTTAATTTGGAAGAGAATGAGACAATATTTGATTTTAATGTAAGTTTTTTGAACTATTACTTATATCATACAGAGATTATTAAAACTCCTTGGCCAGAAGACTTTATTTTGGTTTTATTGTGATAAAATTCAATGGAAATGAAATTAAATTCCTATGGTAATGAATTTTCTTTCCGTGATGCTAGGTCAGCATTTTTTAATAGTGCACGGCGCAATAAAATAAATCATGATTAGGCGCAGAACACAGTTTCCGTGTGAATAGGTTATAAACTACACATTTATTTAATAAGAACTTAAAGAAATTCATAAATGGTTGATATAGATAGACTCGCACTCAAAGAGTTCCTTATCATAATATACAAGATGTAATAATCGGCCGAACATACAGGGAAAAAATTACTTCTTTAATTTAGTTTAATTTTATAATGTAGTTAAATTTTTAACGTCACAGCGTCAAGAAATACATTCTTATGTGAAAATTTCAATTGTCAGGCCTTACGAGAAATTTCGCTATTATAGTGGTGTCAATGGGACGATAAATAATAAGTGGTACAGTTAATTCACTGATTGTTTTTTCACTTCACAGTTTACAAGTAGGTATAGTTTAACATTAATCTGACTCTGAATCTAAATTGTCTATTTCCTAATATATTATGCGTGATTAGACTCATTGAAAGAACCTGACGGTACCGGTGTTTATGTGCGACTGGCTCACGTCACCGCGTACCGCGCTTATATCAACAACCTTTTGGTGGTATTGTATTTCTACTGGTGAGTATGGTTCCAGAGCTCCGCGGGAGATAAGGTTCAGGCCGGCGAGGTGAGGATGGCTGGAGTGGCCCACTTTCTATCGCATCATCTATCTTTGCAATTGGACTCCATTTACACTTAACATCAACTTGGGTGGGGTTATTTGTTGCGCCTCGCATAAAAAAAAGATCTATGAACCACTCCCGCACCAGGAAGCGTAGTGTCAGACACTTCACTAGGTAGATTGATAACATCAAACGATTCGGAGTGTCCACTAACTATGTAAAACGCAGGATTACTGTATGTGGAAATCCCTAGAGAAGTCTTATGTCAAGAAGTGGATGTCCGTCGGCTGATGATGATGATGATGACGATCTATGAAAAAGGTCCGAGCCCTAGAAGAGCTCCTATCCTATCCTAGAAGAGAGATAGAGAGATTACCGTTTGAATGTATGGGCAAGTTTGCATCAAATCCGGTAGTTCCGAATTATTCCTCTTGTTTATGATGTAGGCAATGAATAATTCAAGTTTGTGACTTTGAGAGTCCAAGGCAACTATGACAAAAAACGTCGTATTTTTTTTAGATTATGGCGATTAATACTCAAAATAACTTCTTTTTGGTACTTTAAAAAACTAGACCCTAAGGTTTATAATCGCCAAAGTCTGCCGAAAGTCAAAATATTCGCGATATGTCGATTATTTACACACAAAGTTCACAAACTTACTTTGTTATTTCTTCATTGACCCATAATCATATGCATATGGTCTGCAGAAAATTAGGAATCCCGGATTTGACGCATATTCTGAAGTATTAATTTTACTGGACTAATTAAACTTTCAGGATGTTATCAAAGAAAATGCAAATTTCGAAAAGTATTCGGATATTTGTCAATTGAGGATAGTTGGAGGCTACGAGGTTCCTATCACCACAGTGCCTTATCAGGTATATAATTTAATTTATTATGTAATACTAGCTGGTATGCACCTAATGTCACCAATTTGTCTGCTTCATTGACATTCAAAAATTCAATTGTGCTAGAAAGTATCATGTTTAACATATAGAGTAGAGGGGTGTGACCCTTATTTTTTTCAAGACCAATATTAATATATAAATAATAAATATTTCCAACACTCACACTAATTAGCCTAGCCCCAAACTAAGCACTATAAGGCTTGTGTTATGGGATACTAGGGTAACGGATAGAATACATAGACTGTACATATATAAGTATATTTATATAGAAATACATGTTAAACATCCATGACTGGAGTACAAATGCTCGTATTCATCACACAAACATCTTCCCCCACCGGGATTCGAACCCGGGAGCTCTCGAGTCGGCGACACCATGAAACCCGGCGTTCAATCCACTCGGCCACGGAGGTCGTCGAATGACTTCTACAATTACAATGAATACCTAACTAGTATTATTAAATATGTTTTTTTTTGAGTTCTGAATGTTCAAAGATAGAATGAGTCACATCTAAACGTAAGGTATGAATTTTACTAATAGAACATAAATTGGTAGTAGAGCTCAAGCGGGGATTTTTGGATTTACTCTCTCACAGCATCACAGCAGATTAATCTTGCACCTTGTGAAGTACTCCTATCATATCTAACTCCTCTTTAAAAGTCGAAAGTCCAGGGCAGCCAAAAAAAACCGAGTGTGCTTATGACCTCACGACTGAAGTAAAACTTCTTTAGCTCCATCTGTATATATATATGTATGTGTGTACAATATATACATGTATGTGTACATATACATATTTCATTTACTAGCTATAAGAGAAAGAGAGAAAGAAAATGTGCGCGCGCACTGCTTTCTCTTGCTTATATGGCTCACTCACACCCTGTTCGCCTCACCCAAACACACTTTTCATAACGCGTAACGCATTCTCCAGCTTACCCCCCAAGTCAAGCGTGCGTAAAGAAGTCTCACTTCAAAAATTTGTCTTTTGGTCGCGTCCAAATCGTCAGCCTTTTAATAAGAGCTACTATAGGGTTCAAGTAACATCCCTTCTCAATTACTGACGCGCTCTTTTTATATTCTATATTCTACCCTTTCGTACGGTCACCCCCACGCCATGCATACAGACAGATCAATATTTTTTTCGTCATCAGAATCGTTACGTGACGTGTAAGTACTTCTTTGTAATAACATGCATATACACACGCACACACACACACACATGTACATGTACAAGGGCGCGCGCGCATTGCACACATCTCGCCCTTGTTTGGTAGAGGGTTTTCTAAACTTTTATGCTATAACTAAAAAATGGAAAATCCGTAATTAGCATTTAGATAAACTATATTGTAAAACCTGTATTATATTAAGAAAATGCTGTGGATTTTGGTCTAGAATTAAATAAATCACACTAATACTATAAAGGCGAAAGTTTGTGAGTGTGTGAGTGTGTATGTTTGTTACTTCTTCACGCTTAAGTGGCTGGAGCGATTTCAATAAAATTTGGTATGGAATTAGCTGACACCCTGGATTAACACATAGGGTACGTTTTATTACGGGAAAATATCATTAATAAACAACGGGTAACACCGCGGGGCACAGCTAGTTAATAAATATTTGGTAAATCAGGTTAAATAGCTAACAAAGACGATTGACATACATTTCTGCATGTTTATCCATTTTCAGATATCATTGAGGAAATCAATGTACGCTGGTTATATTTGGTACACGTTTTGTGGTGGATCACTTATCACTTTCAAGTTCGTAATAACTGCTACTCACTGTTTCGTCACACCAGGGTAAGTAATGTGTGATTCTATTTTAAATAATTGTTATGAAAAATACAACAAAGTAAGAAACAGTGTCAGTTTACAACCAAGGTTACGTAAAATGTGTCTCGAAATAATAGTTACAGGTTGTCAGTGTGTAGTCTATTACAGTTTCCAAAACTCCATTGATAGGCTTTACTATCTGCACTTTCATGTGTAGCAACTGGCCCATTTGGTGGTTTCTAGACTAAAATGAAAGGAGACGGAATTTTGTGGAGGATAGTATTGAGGTTCCGGCAAGTCTCCTTTCATTATTTAGTCTAGAAAAAAAAACACACCCTCCATAGAAATCTGAACTGTCTCCTTAATTTTTTTAGAAAAAACACCAAACGGGTGTTTTTTTCTATACTAAAAATGAAAGGAGACGGTTCAAATTTGTATGGAGGGTGGTAGAAAAAACACCAACAAAAACACGTGTTTTTTTTGTGGTAGTGAGGTTCCGGCAGTCTCCGAAATTTTATGAGATGTAATGCACTTCATTGTAAATTCTTTGACAAAAAAACGAATTTATTTTATCTTCGTCTTTTTAAATAATTATTATAATATAAAAATATATAATTATTGATTGGCAAATGCCAAGTTTATTTATCTATTATTTGTTAAAAGCATCAAATTATATTTTAATCAATAGGTCAATAGGTAACTAAAGCAGTGATAATTATTATGTTCATATTTATCAGGAATTTTGTGGGTATTTTATTTCAAGAAGAATCATAAATTGGTATAATAAGTTCACCATGATTTTACAAATATCATATATAATTTGGACTGATTAACACACGATTTAAAATTGATCGGAGATAGATAAAAAACATTAAAAGTATCTGTTCATGTTATAATAAAAACAGGCTTTCAAGTGATAATTATATGTTTCGTCGCTGCCGGAAACCGACTACCACTTTTGAACCATCTTCTTCGATTTACAGTGTTTATATTGTTTTTAAAACATTCATGGTCTCTCATATAAGAGTAACGAACGGGATTGCTATATTTGAGTGTCTCCTAAATTTCGGCACTGTTTGGTTGGTTTTGCAACGATTTAGGCGATTCCCACACTGCGACGCACTACGCTGCGTAGCGCCTGATTGCGTGTTGTTACGTTGCTTGCAAGTATCTCTTTTTGTTTTGAAACAAGTGTAGTGCAACATACTTAAAACGAGTTCACGCGCTTTTGCAGATCAAGTAGAGACCTACCTACATGTAGTTTGTATGGCGAAATCGATATGATGATGCAGATCTGCACACCGCAGCGTAGAACGGGGCAGTGTGAGAATCGCCTTAGCTGTGGACTAAGCTCCTTATTGAGCTAAAGGAACACAGCATGGGTTTTGACTTAAACATTGAAGAAACCGCAATGGTAGTTTTATTTCTCTGTAGTCTTCGAATTTGAGCTAAAATCTATTATTCCCTATCTATATCCCATTCGATATCTTTAAGGTTTAAATTATCTGTGAAGCATAATTTTAGATTTAATAACTGGAGAAACTCAATCCGAGCCGTTGCTGGAACCACAGAATCGATAGTCAACATATTTGTTTCGAGTAGAGAGCATACCAGAAGAATCAGAAATTATTATGTACACAAAAATTACGACAACCAAATGTGGATAAACGACATAAGCGTTCTCGAGGTACCTACGCCACAAAACGTATGTTGACATTGTAGAACTATGTTTTGTACAATTTAGACATGCTATTCAAGTCAGTAAAAGATTATAGTGCCATGTTGTATCGTGAAACGTCAGTGTCATTAGATCAGAAGTTTCATACATTTAATATTGTTAAAGTTCGAGATCCGAACCTAAATCAACCTTCATCGAGCTGATAAATAAAATGAAACATATTTTATTATAAATTTAGTATATTAGAAAATATATTAAAAATGATTTACCCAAAAAAATCCTGGCCAGACTATTTTTAATTATTAATAAAAATATTTTTAATTAAATGTTGCAACATCAAGTAAATAAGAAAAAGTCCTGACTTACAGTATAAAACGTACAAAATGTGCAGCCGTTGGGTTGTGCGCTTTTCTAAAATTTCGGGCAACAAATGTCCATACACCGTGTGCTTTGAGTCCGTAACAAGTCCTCGGCAGACATATTTTTCACGATTCAGGGACTTAAGCCCTCTACGGACAAAAGTCCCTCCTCTGCACAGGTGATTACTCGGAGCTTTCGATTTTGCTACCTGACGACGTAATTTTTAGTCGGTGCGATGAACCGGCGCAGCATTTGCTGTGTTGACGCTAAGTAATTTGATGACGTCATGGTCCTATAGTGAGAATGTGCCAAAACTCAAGATAGTGAGTTCTGAAGTCTGATTTTTCTGAATTTGGATACAATAAAGTTTACTTATTTATTAAATGTTCTATAGAATGGAAACATAATCCTATTTATATGGATTTTCTCACCATTATTATCTAAAATTTTCAATTACGACATAATATTCTATTAGAAGTGAATAATAATGGTGTCAAAAAGTCATAATTTCTTGCTCAATACAAACTGATAGATTTCTATATCAGATTTCAACATTTTTGTTATTTTCCTTGAGAAAAATAAGTTACTGTAAATATGTATTTAGATATCGGATCTACAGTTACATAACTTTTATGTTCTAAGGCTGTAATCCACCATAATATGCCGGTATGTATGTCGGATTAGTGGATGCTAATTACATCTGAGATTGCATTAGAGTAAGTAAGATGAACTCGGGACCAATGATTCTGTGTGCTTTTCTGAAGGTCGGAGCTAAGCCAGATAGAAATTAGTAAGTCATAATTCTAAAAAAACTTTAGATTTGTAAATCAAACAGTATAATATTAACAGCTTATAAAAAAAGGAACAGGAGGCCTTTCTCTATTTTAACGAAAAACTAAATTTTGATTGCAATTTCGCACTTTTCTTACTTTGTTTTTTTTTATTTCGAAAATTCGTTCGTCCAAAAATAGTTTGACAATTGAATTCTCCAAACCTACTCTAATTCACAACACTATCGAACGAAAAAATAAAAAAGAAGAAAAGCTGAATTGGACAGATATTTAGTCGAAATTTTAACCTCAAATTGAGAAAAAGGAAAAGTGGTACCTTTTCATTATCGTTTTGGGATTTTTGTTTTCATGGAGCCTAAGTCATTTTAGGCTTCATGAAAACAAAAATTAAAAATACTCTAACAGTTATGCTATGTGCGTGTTTGAAAATGAAATAGAATAGAGTCACTGGCGAAATTCCGTTTAAAATTCGTTCGTTACCGAAATTTCGTTTCGGAGAAAGAGAGTAAAGCAGGTTTTGGTCCTATTCTCGTATTTGCTAATATAATAATACACAAATGTTTATGTTTAGTCCCAATCCACCTATTGCAAGTGTGGCATCTCAACGTCAAGGTTTACTAATGCCGCGAAGTAATGTTTTTAAACTACCTAAATTTTAAATTGGATAAAAAAGTTGTTTTCATCATTGCAGTAATTACTTTACAGAGACGTAAAATTTTGTTAATAAGCCATATTTATCTTACAAAGTGAGTGACTGTAATACTTAAAGTAATAACATGCCTGAAGAAAAACCTACTTTTCGTGCTATTAGTACTAATAATGCACGTGTATCAAATTACGTGAAGAAGTTTAACGTACTTTTACGTGTGTAATGTAACGTGGTTATACCGTAAAACGGTTGTTATCATTGTGATGATATCACAATCACGTTTAAATTATAAATTTTTAAGGTGACTTGAAAAGTAATTATTCATAAAACTTGATTAGTATGTGTTTGTAATCACTATTTATGTGTCGATTGAAAATAATAAAAGAACATTTCCCGAAGAAAAAAATCGTATTTTTGCAAATCTTAGGTAAATACTATTTTAAAATTTAAATCTTTAGACCTCCTAGCTCGTTTTTTTTGTTTTTTTTTTTTTTTTTTTTTTTTGTTTCCTCCCAGGCGGGGGAGAGGGTGAGAAATCCTCATGGATACCCTACAGCCGGCTGTAAGGTTATGTCAGACTCCTACTGACTAAAAAACACCCTTTATTCATGCTTATGGCCAGAAGGGCCTTACAAGCTTCATCTGAAGCGATCACCCCCCGAGAGGGGGATGATGCGGCGCTGCGTTAGTTTAAACTAGTGCATAGTTTAAAATAACGCAAAATGCGCTTAGAGGACAAGTGCACTCAGATGTGCACTTGAAACGGGAGGAGACTGAGAGGAATCGAACCTCTCTGTGTCGGGGGGGCGGGGGGGACTCACCGCGGGTGTTGGATCCTCAGCGGCCAAGAGGGCCGCGAGATCGCGCGTGAGTTTATTGTGTGTGGCTGTGAGTGCGTGTTTGGGCCTGCGGGGCCTGAATCGAGATGGAGTGTGTGGAGCGTATCCCGACGCCGATCTAATGAGTGTGTTAGAGTGCTCTTCTGCAGCTTTGAAGAACCGTTCCGAGCACTCTGTGAGGTGTGTTTGAATTGTGTCGAGTTGTAGGTCCCTGTGGAGGTCCGCGTTGCGGACGTACCACGGGGCCCCTGTGGCTATGCGGCAGAAGCGATTTTGAAGCACTTGAAGTTTGTTCAAAATCGCTTCGTCCGCGTGTGCGAACACTGGTGACGCGTAAGTGAGGACCGGGCGTATGCAAACTTTGTAGAGCGTTCGCTTGTTACGAAGTGACATTTTGCTGTATTTACCGAGCATCGGGTGGAGGCGGCTCATATAAAAGCGCGCGTTCGCGACTACGCGTGTGATGTGTGCACGGAAGGTGAGTTTTTTGTCTAGTGTGATCCCTAGGTATTTGACTGTGCGGTGCCACGGTATTGCTATGCCTTGCATTCGCAGAGACCGCGCACCGTGTTGTATGGTTTTGGTGCGGCGCTTGGGATCGAAGCAAATGGCCGAACTTTTGTCCGGATTTACGTCGATTCTCCAGTCGCGGAACCAATTCCCAAGTGTTGTGATTGCCGGTTGGAGCTTGGCTATGATTTGATTGGTACTGGCTCCCCTAGAGTAGAGGGCCGTGTCGTCCGCGAAGAGAGCGAGCTCGACACCCTTGGTCTGAGGGATGTCATTGGTGTACGCTGTGTATAGCAAGGGGGAGAGAGCGCACCCCTGCGGTACACCGGCTCGTAGTGGGCGGGGCGTTGATAGTGAACCTTCGTATCTATAGCGGAAGGTGCGGTTTGATAGAAAAGAGGCTACTAACCTAACTAGGCGGTCAGGTAACTCTAATTGATATAATTTAAAGATTAATCCGTCGTGCCAAACCTTGTCGAAGGCTTTGGCGACGTCGAAGAAGACTGCAATAGTTTTATATTTATTAAGTTGGAAGCCGCTTAGGGCGTGCTCCACTATGCGATGGATCTGTTGGGGGCAGGAGTGTTTGGCTCTGAAGCCGAATTGGTGGTCAATGATAATAGGATCGGATGGTGATAGGAGGTGCTCTCTTAGTCTGGTCAGTATGGTTTTTTCGAAAAGTTTCGCCATTGCCTTGAGGAGGCTAATAGGGCGATGGCTACTGGGGAGGTGCGCGGGTTTTCCGGGTTTGGGGATGCCTATCACTATTGCTTCTTTCCAGGCGGCTGGGAAGTAGCACAGATCAAAACATGCGTTAAAGAGAATTGCAAGCAAGGTTAGCATTTGGATGGGAAAATGCTTGAGCGCCTTGTTAGAGATGCCGTCGGCGCCCGGGGCCTTGCGTTGCTTAAAGTTTCTAATGGTCTGTCTGAGTTCGTCTGTCGTGACGGGGTCTAGGGGGTTGTCAATGAGTGGAAGGGCGGCCCGCCGGCGGACCTCCTCCTCCACTCCGCGAATATGTTGCGGGTTAGTTTCCTGCGTACTAGGCGTGCATTGCGCCGCTATGCTGTCTGCAAAACACTCAGATTTTTCGTCGTCTTCGAAGGCGACGGTGCCGTCGGGGCGAGTGAGCGGGGGGGTGTGAGTGGTGACGTCGCTACGGAGCGCTTTCGCGATTCTATAGTACGCAAGATGGGATGGGGTAATGTCCGCCATGAGTTCCTCCCAACGGGAGTGTCTCAGAGCGGCTAATTGGGACCTAACTTGTCGCTGAAGGCGATTAGCTGTAGCCCTATACTCGGGGGTGGGGTATAATTTGGCTCTCCGGAGAGCGGCGTTTTTGGCTTGGATTAGGTTCCGGATGGCCAGCGGGAGCTTGGGCTTTGGCAGCTCAACCTCCCGCGAGTTCTCCTTCGCCTTCTCGGTCACCAGTAAAGTTAAAGACTCTATAGTTTCGTCAATCTTGTCGGTGCTGTCGAGACTGTCCGGTGAGTTAGGGAACGGGGACTCGGGGGAGTCTAAAGCGGTCTCGAGAGCGGAGCGGTATCCGTCCCAGTTGGTGAATAGCCTCTTAGGGGGCGCGGGGGCGTCTAGTGGGTCTTGGGGACCTAGAACTAGAGACACCGGTCTGTGATCTGACCCCAGGTCGTCGAGTGTTTCGATCGAGCTGAGGCGAAGCGACACGTTTTTAAGGATCGCGAAGTCCAGGACGTCGGGTCGGTTTTGTACATTGTCTGGGTAGTGGGTGGGCGCGTAGGGACATATGACATCATAGCCAAGCTCCTCGGTGATGTGTAGTAATCTGCGGCCAGAGGTGGTGGTGGTCTCGCATGTCCAGTCGGTGTGTTTGGAGTTAAAGTCACCGAACATTATGACTGA